GAAAATCGGCGAGAGACAGCAACAAGATATTTCTGGCCAATCGATGCCGGCACTACATGTAATTACATGTAAAACATGTCACGTATTACATGTAACATAACATAACATAATGATGTCGGCGCTGAAATGTAGGCCTGATGTGGCCTGTCGCCGATTCTTTTCCTTTTCGTGCCTTGTTCATAGATCTAAACTCGTATCATTTGATCGGATCTTTTCATACTGCCACTCGCCCTCCTCTCTGCCACTCGCCCTCCTCTCTGCCACTCGCCCTCCACTCGCCTTTTATATTAATGTAATATTACATTACATGGACTTGTTAAAAAAGTTACTAAGTGTCTCCCAGACGTTCAGCCAGCAAGAATTGTCAGAATATTGTAATCAGTTTGCTGTATCTTGATCTAAAGGAACGGGTTGAACTTTTCTCATCTCACGCATGATTTGATATTCATCGAAGATTGTTCCGAAGAGTCGCGTATCTATGCGGAAGTTGCAAAGTTTTTTCTTTATATATTTGAAACTAAAATTTAGTATCACCCACACCTTCCTCAAAATTTTTCCTGTTTTCACTCACCAAGCAAATCTTTAGCTTTGAATTGTCAACATTTTATTAAATGGCAGATAATAGATAATCTTTAATAAATTCATTATAATTTTTTAAACTGACTTCTAATCAATATGCTTCACTGTATCCATGGATAATTAAAAAACTAAATTACAACTTATTTTCGGAAACTAAGACAAATTGCTTTAAATCGCGCCAATTCTCATAGTAAATAAAACACATTCTCATGAGTTCTGAAAAATTTAATTTACTACAAAACGAATATTTAATTTACTTCAAATTATTTAAGCACCAGAAGCCCACAACTTTTTGTTTTTGAATTTCATTATCAATACTCAAAATAAATTCGGGTCGATGGACTAAGTTATCCGTTATATATATTATTTTATTGACTTTACACATTTATATTCGCTTTATATATGTGATTTCTTTTTTTTTGGCTGTATATATTTTTAACGGAGTGTTTTTTTATTGACTTTATATATCGCACTGATTTCACCAGAGCCCGACAGAAGTTGGCGATGGCAATCACAGAGACGAAACTACAAGTTTTTAAGTAACTTTAACTCTATAACTAACTTAACTTTAACTCATTACTATATATCTTCAATCTTCGCCAAAACCAACATCATAATTAATGTTCTACCTACAGAGAATGATAAATGTTACAGGCTCCGTGGACAGCCGCTTTTTAAATTCTTATATAGGATATATTAAATGAATAACTTTTATGTTCAACTTCAATGTCACATTATTTAGGGTACGTTAACGCCCATGACCGTTTTATTCGTGAGGGGGATCACATAGACAATTTAAAGCATACCGATGACTGGTTCAAGAATTGATACACGTACAAAACACCACAAAAACCCAAGGCTTTATAATTCCCATAAAAAGAACACGTCCAATGCTCGGAACAAGTTCCAGCCGAGAAGCAAAGCTATTAGAGAGAATTTTTAAGCTCAATGTTGAAAAAGAATGGATTTTTTTTCCCCAGACTAAGGCCAATTTTTAATTTCAGATTCTAAGTTAAAAAACTCGAGAAATTGATCGAATCCGTAATGTCCTTGATTTTATTAACAAATGCTCAATTATTTATTGAATGTAAATCAATTATTTTAAAAAGGCAATATACCACACCCTTACTTTAACTTACGTTATGTTAGGTTTGTTTAAACTAAGAGTGATTGATCTCGTGTCTACGTGTCTATATAGCATTGAATTTTGCCCGATCAAAGGGTATAACAGTTATGCTATGTCAAGAATCGGCAACAGGCCTAAGGCCTAATAAATGCTGTAACCGCTATAACATGATTTTGAATTTGGAATTATTTTCGTGTGTTTTATATATCATATTATATCATATTATATTCTATTACATTACATTATATTATATTAGGACTATTTTATTTCAAAATCGGACATACTCTTTTAAAAGAAACAAAATTTCTGAATACCAATAATTTTATTTGTTGACTTGAATTTGTGGTCGAAATTTCTTGAGACTGCATCGAAAACTACATAATTAAATGATACGATGAAAAAATAACAGAAGATAATTTGAGAAACTATCAGACCGTGCAAAACGTGCGCGCTTATGTCATAAAAATGAAACAGACTACAAATTCATAAGTTCGATATCTGTCTTGTGTTCAAATATTGAAAGATAACAATTCTCAATCGGATAAATTGATAGCCTCGCTCGAAACCATAACTAGAACCAGGCACTAGGGTGGTCCTCAAAAAACTTTTTTCTTTGAAAATGAGTTCCTACCTCAAAAAAGGGTTCGTCTAGATGCCTAAATAATATCCTCAAAATATTTTTCAAATCGGTTAATATTTAGAGGTCGCTCAATGGTGTCAAAGTTTCACCCCTGTGGCTCAGGGTCATAGGGTACGTAGAGTGAACAAATAAACGGGTCTGAACATGCTTGAACAGTAATTTTTTGTCCAATCCCACCCTGAATGACTTGATTCCATTTCAGAGGGCGTTGTGCAGTGTGTACCTCTGACAGTCAGTCAGTCGTGTTCATCCACGGATTGTTGAAGGTTGAGATAGGCAATGACGACTGTCACACGTGCGAAGAGGAGATATTCAGCGTCTCCTTCTCCCACGTTGACGGGAGCAAAGCTTCATTCGTGCTAGGAAGTTCTGGCCGTTGTCCACTTCCATCATAGCAATGGCGCTACTTACGATGACGCCTTCAAGGATGTCATCTTAGAAGTCCTCCAGTTCTGGGAACATGCAAGGATTCCAACGATTTGAACGAACGAAGGATTCCCGATAACATTTTAACAAAGCTGGAAAAGATCAAGCAAGAATACCAGCAAGTCAAGAATAAGCGTCATAAGGGAATCCAAGGCCCATACCAAGAGGGAGTCCGTCTTCAAGGAGAAATTGGAGAAGGTCTTTGACGTGGCCCACAAGGATGCACCCACGATCATGAAGATTGAGGAATACATTGCCTTCCTTGTCGCGCACCGGCAGCCTGGCCGCCTGGGGTACATGGGAGATATTGATGCCAAACTTGCCCGTAAAGAAGAGCGGAACTGAAAACGGTGGCAAGGGTATGATGACCGCTGTCATTAGGCACAGCAGCCGTCAACATCGGCTTCTACTGCCATGGACCCAGGCGACTCGTCTTCCGCGTCATGCAGCGCTAAAGCGGAGGAGAAAGAGGAATTCCATGTGCAACAAGAACAGAGAGTTGTAGGGACAAGCGTTAGTCCACCGATGAGGGCAAAGAACGTGATTATGCCAGGCTTGGCAGCTTCCCTTGACCGAACCAAGGTGAGCGATAGAGGAGCTGTGTTTCTTCTTACAAAAGCAGCTCGAGACTTCGGCCACGAGCCGGAAGATGCTAACAATCAACTTCTCCTCAATAATTCGCCGATATCGGCAAAAGCACTGAGCAATGTACGCCTCACAGCTTAAGGCGGACTTGAAGACGAGCGAGACAGTGGTGGTGCATTGGGAAGAAAAGCTAATGCAGGACCTCACGAACAAGAAGCACGTGGACCGTCTACCTGTCCTTGTCAGCGAGAAAGGAGCCGTACAATTCCTTGGTGTTCCCAAGCTCGCCAACGGTACGGGGAGGGTGCGGAGCAATGCCGTCGTCGCGCTTCTGCGGGAGTTGGGGATTGAGGATCGTGTGCCGGCGGTTTTTTGATAGAACGGCATCAAACACCGGGAACATCCATGAACTTATCGTTGGCGCAACATTCCAGGCGGTCATAGGAGGAATATCGGGCACACTGTTGATGGTTTCAGCCCCAGTGGGAGTTTCTGGAGTTTTGTGGAAGTTTCGAAATTTCTACACATTAAGAACTCTCCATAAAGAAATCAGAGCAGGAGGTAGGAGCATGGGAAAACTATATTCGAATTTTAGACCCACTATGAACAACCCCAATGTTTAGGCCCGTTTCTTTGTTCACTCTACGGACCCAGTGACCCTGAGCCATAAGGGTAAAACTTTGACACCATTGAGCGACCTCTAAATATTAACTGATTTGAAAAATATTTTAGGAATATTATTTAGGCCTCTGGAGGAACCCATTTTTGAGGTAGGAACTCATTTTCAAGAAAAAAAGTTTTTTGAGGACCACCCTAACCAGGCACGTCCTTGTAAGAATATCGTCCACCGAACGTGTGCGTGATCTATTTTTTCGCGTTGTTGATTTTTTCCTAGCGGTTTATGGATGTTCACAGGCACGTACACCCAGCCTCTGTCCCGCCAGTGCCGGCGTGGAAATCAAAACTTATCCATCGTCGTGAATAAAGTTTGTCCTTGTCTGTACATTAAAAGAGCGAGTGCAGCATCCCTTATGAACCATTTTAGTGATGTACATCGGCACGGATGGAAGCACGCTTGATGCGTGTACTCGTGTTTAAATTTATTTGGATGCACAACCTGAGTTTAAAAAACGATTCATTGTTCTGAAATGTTCATTATAACTATGGTGAATGTGAACGTCTTTCCGTTCTGAATTAATTTGCAGTTTTTAGGGCAACAAATGTGTCGTAATTTTATTTTTAATTCTGGCTCGACCAGACCTATATTTGCTCATGTTACTGCTCTAATAATTGTTTTCAGACACTGAACAAATTATTGAAGATATTTATTGTGCATGAACTGACCTTTATTGTATTGAGTCATAGAAATTTAATTTTGATTTTGTTTCACCATACTGTTTAAACTGTTTAAACCACCAATTCTTTTCTTTAAATCTGAATAACTTCATTGAGGATACAATTCAATACAATTCTTCTACCATTACTTCACTACAGGTTCCTTTAAAAATTATATTGTCTAGAAAATTTCTAAATGCGATGATGTTCTAATAGCCCTATTCGGAGTTGGTCATAAATAATTACGTATTCAGTTTGTAATGAGATGATCCCCTAACGAACTAAATGTGTTTATTTTTCCACAGGTCCACCCTGAAATATAAATATTTCCAGATCAGAAAACAGTACTTATTGGATTTAGTGACAGCAGTGGTTGCTTCCTAAACGGCATTGTTACTCAATCAACTCTTAAGTTTAATTAGGCTGTCCTTTAGGTCAGACCGTCCAACAACCTAGCAGAAGTCAAGTTTTTTGCCTCAATTTTTTGCAGTACGACTTCATTTCGTCTTGTTGTCTCGTGAGATACCAAATCACGAACTGAGTATACCATTGAATTTGAAAATTAGAAAACATAATAAATTCAGCTTCGGCGTGAATAACGAGTGAAATACGTTGGAGGTGCCACTCCTGTTGGAATAGTACGGCATAACGGCAACGACTGCAGGAGCTACGGTGTAGCTGCAAGTGCTGCATTAGGTGATCAGTGTAGCTGCAACGGCTGCAGGAGGTGTTCAGTGTAGCTGCAACGGCTGCAGGAGGTGATCAGTGTAGCTGCAACGGCTGCAGGAGGTGATCAGTGTAGCTGCGAAGGCTGCAGGTGTCCGGTGTAGCTACGAAGGCTGCAGGAGGCGTCCAGTGTTGCTGCGAAGGCTGCAAGTGTCCGGTGTAGCTGCAGCAGCGACTGCCGCGCGCAACTGCCTGGTCGCTGTTGGCTCTGCGTTAGACGCGGTGTGACCGTTTGCATCGGAGGAGTGCGTTGCGGTAACCAGGCCGGCGGATGACAGGATTTCTGGCGATCGTAGCGTTGTTAGAAAAAACATACCGTGCATGTCGTTGCACGAGAGTGTTAGGACATCAACTGTTGGTGTTGTTTAGTGCTTGGTTGGAAAACAGAGAGTTTTAAAGGGTGTTCGATTGAAGATAGTACTGTTTGAAAAGTGCTAGTTAGGACATACTACTGTTCGTGCTGTGAATACTAGTAGGTTTTTGCGAAAGTTTCTTTCTACTGATTTAAACCCACACAAAAACTTTCTTCTTTTTAAAGTGCTCGGAGTGTCGCTCAACTTGGAAAATTGTCGAAATAAATACCAGTGGAAACTTATTTTGTGTGACCTCCAACAGAGAGAAATCTGCTTCTGCTCGACTAGTGCTTTTTTTGTCGTTTAACATAGAATTTTTTGCGTAATTTGTAGAACTTACTTACCGGATCTCCGACCTTTACCACGATTCAAGTTACGTGCGTCAAACGAATCGAACAACGTATAAAACTGATCAAGACAAGACACAAAATCGCGCAACTCCCTCTAGTCGCGTTTCCTCTTCTTGTAGTGTGGTGAAAGGTGTCATCCATCACCTGCTCTTGAATCACTTGCGCCCAGATACCTCAACCAATCATGGATTCCTACGACTCAGATTCGCACATTTTCCAGATCATCACTAAGTTTGATCGTCATGGGTACACCTACACTTTCCCAGAAGACGACCATATCAAACACTACAACATGAGTGACACGCCTAGACAAGAAAACGGGCTCTACACCACCGGCTATAACTGCTCGTATCCTTATATATTTTCCTTCGAGGAGAACTTCGATACGTACTACTACGTAAACCTGGTAGGCACCTACAAATGGATGGCCAAGTACTTCATGCTGCTGTACCTCGGCGGCATTTATTTCCTGAAGAAGTACATGAAGAATCGACCTCGGTATGAACTGCAGGTGCCTCTCGTCATTTGGAACTTAGGTCTCGCCACCCTCAGTCTATGGGGAGGCATCAGGGCGTTGCAGGAGCTGTCGCAACTCATCATGCAGTTCGGCTTCAAATTCAGCATGTGCTTCGCCGGCAAAGCGTGAGTACTTATATATTACATTTTTCATGCCTTTCTGGTCGATTATTTTTCTTCTATTTGAATGTTATGGATTTTTGCCGGCAATATGTGTAATACTTTCTCGTTTCAACAAATTCAGGTCTCAAACAATGGTCGCGAGTGTCATTGGCTTGTACTTTTCTTAAATTAAACTTTTTACTTTTTCTTATAGGTACGTCAATAAAAGTGAATTCATTTTTTCCAATGGAAGCTATATAATTTGAGTAAACAAACAATGAAGCCAGGATCTTTCTAATGGTAATAGATTGCATTTTGACCATCTGGGTCAAAAATCTGATCTCTCAATGAATGATTTCAAGGTGACGTTCGACTCAGCTTGCGCTTTCTCTGGTAATGTCGTGGCGCGAGGTCGCGTTAGTTATATACATACCCTAGTTGCCATGTCCTCAGTGTTGAACATGCGACTTGCAAACACATATAAAGAGGATGTAAGTATAATAAATTTGGTCCCAGTTACCAAACCTGTAAGTTGAAAGTATTTCATATTTTACACAATGTTTTTCTACTGACATGGTTGCAAATTCATTATTTAATTGTCTGTATTCCGATACATCGTTTGTGAAGCCAAATAAATATCTGTGACTGGAAAAACTGGCAAAACCGGGCATTACTTTTCAAAAAATAATCACAGATTTTTTAAACGAAACTTATATTACTTAAAAATATTGTTTAATTAAAATAAAAAAAAAACAGAGAAGTGAAATGTAACAATAGAGGTGTTTACCTTAGCAATAACATACCTCATTTACTAGTGAAAGTGTTGAAGCGTTGGAATGAAAGGTTGTATTGAGCGAAAAGGAGCGCGAGTGAAAACTGCGTATACCGTCGCTGGCCGTCCGTTCCTGGCACGCAGTGCATGTGTGAAGATGGCAAATTTTCAGGATGACAGGATAATTATTATTACAGGTACAGATGATCTTCAAAATATTATTTAAAATATAAAATTGTATTGAGTTAATTGTATGAATATAATTTAATCTTGGAAGGATCAGATTTCTAATTATGTGAATCGATTCGATCTGATCGTAAACTATAAGCCGGAAAATCTAAAGGCTACTTTTAGTTTTCATCCATAATGCGGACTGCAGCGCTGTGGCGGCATGTAAAATGTGATAGATTTCGGGACCGCGTCTAGTATGTACAGATTTCATAACAAATTGATCTCTTGCTCACTCTTGTTCAATTCAAAAGCACAATATAAATTTGTAGAGAAAATTTAAAATGCTTAAGTACATTTAAAGATACATTTGAATACAGTTTCACGTTAATGTATTTTTTTAATGGTGTGGTTATAACGATGTGAATGCTAGTCATTATGTATTTCTTTATTCTCTTCGGAATCTACTGGAAACATGCATAAAATGTCATTATAAATCTATTCGTGCCTTTAGACTATTTAATTGCGTCTATGCATACGGCTTGCTTCTTTTGTGATATTCCATCTATTATACAACGTGTCCCCGGTATTACTATGCGACTGTTTGTCTTATAAATAAATAATTTAATCGGCAGTAATTTGGAAAAAACTTGAAAATTTATTACCGTTCGCGATTATACGGAGTTTACTTCTCATTAATTCCACTGGACCCGCTACAAAAGCTTAAAGACTTGAGAGACAGACTTTAAATATTTTTATTGTAAATTTCGGCGAACATACAATCTGATTTGGAAGCGGATTTTCCGAGCGAACTTCTTTATTGAGCTACTATTTGGTCATCTGGCTATCTGGGCATTAGAGTAAATGAATATAACACGTATTTAATAATTATTTAAACACGAATTGGTCGAAATTTTAATTCCCTCTTGCTATACATCAAGTCGCAATGGGTGAAGTGCAATGAAGACACCGAGTGCATTTGACCAACAGACTCAATGTGCTGAACGGACTAAACGGATGTAAATATAGGATTAATGCGTTAAATCGTTATCTGTCTGTTATTTCCCTTGCTAACTGCATGGCACAAACTTTAACCATGAGGTCGAAATTCATCTCCGGAAGAGAGAGGATATCTGCCAAGCTTTCAGATTACGGAATCGGACAGAGGAAACGTAGGAAGAGGCAATTATTTCGGTACTGCAGTTGGTACCAGGAGAAGTGACGCACGTTTCTCTTTCGAGGAGTAAAAAATAATAATATACAAAAACACTTCTCAGTAAATCTTCGACTTTTTTGCAGCGTCATTTCAAATTTGTTCAAATGGTTCAAATGACAGTACAGTTTACTATAACTTCGTTGAACCCACCTGGTCAATTGATTACATACTGGCATCTCATTTATTCATTTTCATACATCTCGTGAAAAATTCCCGTTCGGCACTGCTAAAGCTTGCATTTTAAATTAATATTTCTAATTGTTGGCTCGATGTCAACAATATGATTTACAAATAAGTCTAACTTAACCAGTTTATAGTTTTAGCTAAGCCGGCCGTAGGCGAGTCGATCTAAGAGCACAGTCATTTGTCTCAACATCTTGGAATATTTGACGCGTTAGCTTTTATTGTGTAACCGAATGCGACGAAAACATGTTTTTCGTCGAAATTTTGCCACATCATTGTCATTAGTGAAGCTTAAGGTAGGTTTTTAGTTTGTCTAAATGATGATAGATGTTTCTCACCTCGATGCAAGGATAATTTTTGTGTACTTTTATCGCTGTTGTCACTTCATAATAATTTTGTTCAGGGTTTGTTGTATATCCTTGACGGAAGCGTCGTAATTTGCCAACTCCTTATCAGAAACTTCGAGTTTTATTACTTAGAATTCCCGACCGACGAATACAAATTATTCCTATTTAACTAGGAACATCATGAAATCATGTAGTAATAATAATAATAATAATAATAATTATACTCTAGGTATTTGTGTCACAGACGAGAACACGACGAGAGAAAAGGTATTCCTGTTGCATTTACAAAGTTTCATCTTCTTTTTATTATAAATTTTTCATGCTACTTCTGTCAGACTTAGCAAAAGTTAAAGATTTTACCCTTGACTATTTAACGATCTAATTAATACACATACAAGGTCATACACTTTTTCAGCTCGATGCTGGATCTCTTCTAATGTCAAGTTCAAAATCCTTTTTGTTGATGTATATCACATCATCACTAACATCCTGATGTATTCCACATCGCCATTAACACTCCTATGCATATGTACTTTACATCCTCATTAACATCCTGATGTACTTCACATCCATTTCACATTGAATTATTTGACTTTAAACTTCTCGTTATCTCCTCTCAAGTCCACTTTTGATGCCGTTACAATATAATATTATTGCACTAACAAACTATCATGTGACATCCGACAAAAGTAGCGGCATTGGTACCCCTCTAGAGATGACGTCAGAAAGCATTGATTTCCTCGCTGCATTCAATGACGATTTTACTTTTTCCTCGGTCCTGGTTTGTTCTTGACCCACTTTCTGGCGTCGCAGGATCACTTTCCTAAGATGTGAAGGTTCTCGTTATACCTTTCTCCTCTTCACGCGCCTGGGATGATGATCTCTCATCTTGAAATTGTACAGTCCCTTAATTATTATGGGCGATTTTTGACAGATTTCAGGCTTGACTACCATTTAGAGTTTGATTTGTCTATTGACATTAACAGTTACCTTGTTTGTAAATACAATGAAATTATAGCACAGAAGATTAGTTGATACTCACTCATAATTATCCGACGCAATTTATATGCATTGATGTATTACTTTTTTTGACGTATGCCAATAGATGAAACATATTTAACTATTTTACAACGTGTTAGAATTACCTTTCATATACACATATATTATCAAATTCCTCTAATCTGGAACCAAATGCGCACACACTGAACCAAATGCGCACACTCTCAACACTGAATTTCTCCCCTTGTGAAGCATGTCACATGTTGAGCTAATATTGCGTGGAACTACCGCGTCTAGGAGTGACCTTTCACTTTCTATTTGCTCCGTACCTATAAAGGGTCGTTAGTTAGTTATAAAATACCAGGCGTATCTATTATTAAGTAAGATGTAGCACTATCCTACAATTAGTGCTTCTCCTTGATACCTTGAAAATGAGATGCGTCGTGTTTTATCAGTCGAATAGTTATTATCCATGATGGTTCTTGTTTCCGTTACTGGCGTAGTAACATACCAGTGTACGTACTATAAGTCCTTGTTTGAAAACATGGTATTTTCATTCAAGTGTATTTCAGGACATTGAGAAAGTGTTTGACACAATTCTAGTTTCTCGGTCAAGACGCTCGCTCTTAACCTATGCAGCGATGTCCCTCAAGATGCCATTCCATGTAGCGATGAGACGGTGAAAGTACATAGCTTCGTATTGGTTGGATTTTAGTTCACCTAGGGAGAGGTATGTTAACTCTCTTACTATCTCAATGCCGCGCCTGCCACGTGCATGCCTCTTTGTTGACCAACAATGGAATAAATTTGCCAGATTTGTACTCCCATTGTCGGCTTGCAGCCCGTCAACAACCACAGATAATTTTTAGTCAGGCATTGTCCGACATTTCTGGACACGCACCAAGTTGGTCTCACTGTTGAAGTTGAGTGTTGGTGCAAAACGCCGTGTTATACCAAACTGGAACTTATGAACCTTAGGATAAGTTTTAGTCTGTGTACTGAATAATTACGTATAAAATAAAAAATTCAGAAAATTAATCGTCACTGTTTAATAAGTTTGCACAACCACATCTGAGAAGCAATAGTAGGTGTGAAACATCAATTTAGGGGCATCGCACAATTTATGGCGACCTCTATATACATGCCATCACTCTGAAACAGTAGTGATTTCTTCTACCTATGGTAGAAAAAAAAATTTTCCACCTCGAATGAAAAGTTTAGATAATCTCCAGTAAATTTGATATTATTTATTCACTGATGAATTTATATATGACTATTTACGGATTACTCAATGACCGTATTTTCTTTAACATCAATTATTTAGAATGGTAAAACTGCA